GTCGTTGCAGACTGCAAAGCGTCGATGAACTGATTAATCTCCAGCATGGAGGCCGGTGAGAGAGAGGACATACCTTCGCATTTTGGAATGGACACCTCCATTTCTGGTGGTCAAAGGCAAAGGCTGAGGTCCTCAAAGGAAAAGGCTGATAGCCTGACACGTCTATTCATCGATAGCAAAATTAGACTGACCCTTCTTGTGGAACCTGTTGTGCAAATATATTTAGGACGCAACATCAGTCATTGGACCGGCATCTCTGTAACGGGAGCTCACATTCCTTAAATATTCTAAGACTTCCGCAAATTATTCATTGCATGTGGGAAAATCATTCCAAGGAGTACCGCAGACACAAAGTCCACATTTGCGACAGGGAATCGCTCGCCATCAGCACCGTGAACACATCATGTGTGCCGCAAACCATTAGTGATCATGCCGACATCGTTGTTGTTCGGACCGGCGAGCCAGAAGGGGTTGACTCTAAAGTCCAAACCCGCCATCCCGTCCTACGGATTCACCGACCGTTCTTTGTTCTCGGGCTCTGCCATCGATATGGCCTTCGATCGATACATCATGCGAACCCACAGATATATTATTAATGTCGCTGTCTCCCTAGAAGCCTGTTGAAATCACGACACGAGCACGCCGTTGGGTCGGATCCTCAGGCCGCATCCTCGCAATGCCAAGACCGACGTAATACGCAGAAGGGTGGAGGGATTGAGCTTCATCAAGAAGAAGCGTGGCGTACCGTGGATCCTATGCCCCGAGCAGTGACGACGGACACGAAAAAAAGACATGGTTGAATGAAGGTTAGTTCAGGGAGAGCGGAGAACGGATCGTGCGAGACGACGAGACAAATCTGGCGTACCATCGAACCTATGCCCACGACGAACCCCCAACAGAGATATCGCTGGATGAAGATGTTAGCCGCAGCGACAGCAGAGAATGAGTGCTAAATGCACCACTGTCCGACACTTCTCTGTTCGACGCACCCTTCTGCAAGCCAAGTTCCCGGGAGTAACCACAGCAAAGATAGTAAGATGCACCAGATATCGCGCACGCGTGGAAGGTAACGGAGACGGAAGTGGTGGTACGCGTGCGTAAGCTTGGTGCAAGGTAAATAAAGCATGACTTCATGGATAGTCGGAGGCCAGAATTACGCAGCGAAATCGACGAAATTTCACAAGTACGCCCAATTGTTACTTGTAGAATTTTCGTGGTATGCAACGCACAACGGTGGCATAAATTGCGTTCCAAGGAGTCGGAAAGGGGTTGCCAGGACAGGAAACGCGCTGGAAAACTAAACGCCGCGACAGAATTCTACGGCGCGCGGCCGGGATTTCGGCAGTTAGATGTTGAAGAGGGAGGGTTAGCACTGGCGCTGAGCGCTGAAACTGAGAGAACTGCGAGTGTTCTGTCGATCGTCGTGATGGGAAGAAAGAAGCAGGACGGACTCGGATCGTTTGATCCGGACACCGCCACGATCTCTTCCTCCTCCCACGACCCACTTTTGACTTTAACGTGGCGTCCAGATCGGGAAATTATCTTCGGCAAGACTTTCGGCGCCATCAGTCAAATCATTCTAATCATTCAATCAACAGCCGCGAGTGTCAGCCTCACCTATTCTTTGCCTCCTACCTCCACTACTTGTGAATCTCCTGCCTCCGCTCGCCTCCTCTTTCCTCTTGTATCCACTCGGGCTCCTCGCTGTGCGAGACAAGTGCGAGAGCGTAATGCTGGCATGCCTGCCGCGCCGGTACATCCGGCGCATTATCTCTTGGCAAGACTCTTGTATTCCGTTCAAATTCCGTTACGCGAGGCCGTGCGGACGGATTTTCTGCCCCTTTCTATTAGAAGTAATTCCCTACTGTAGCCATATACTTGTCAATCAACACTTCCTTGAAATCCCGGCTCACTTCCTTGAAGTACACAGTCATTGGCATTGAGAGGATTCAGGTTTATTCATGGGGCTTCCCAAGTACATACAAAATCCGCTCTTGAGTTCTGTAGGTTTGACCAGCTGGCAGGGTTTGACTTGTGCAATATGGCCCGCGGAGCTCGATTGCCGGCGCGGCAGGTTTGATGCGCCGACGATCATGCCGAAGATTATTTCCCGATCTGGACGCCACGTTGCGGCGGAAAGTACGAAAGTCCCACGACCAGCCTCCAGGCAACCGACTCTCAAAATTACCGCCTTGGCGGCCTCGATCTGGTGAAAATCTGTCCTAGGGCGACGTTCTGCACCGGCCGTCAGTTATCGTTCGACGTGGATCAACACTGTTCTGAACCACTAGCTGCCGCGCCACCTCTCGCCTTGAGTCACCTTCTGCGTTTGCCACAGTGTACTCCGTGTGTCCGTCCTCTGCATATGTAGTCAATATTCTGTAGCCTCTTCGATCTAGGCACGTAAGTATAAGTCCCTCATCTCACAATTCGTAGGATTCTCTGATCCATATATCGTCCCCCAGACCCGGCCGCCCATTCCCCCTGCTCTATCCCTGCTGTGATGCATTCGAGCGCAGTATCGAATTGTTATGACACTTCCATCGCCCACACGAATCCACACGTTGGTGGTCGAGTTGTTCCCGACTTAGCAGAGTCGAGTGTCCACGCGCCGGTCGCTAAGTCATCGTTTCCTCCGGTCCCGCGTTTGGTCCCGCTCCTCGACCAACCCACCACTTGACCCTTTCCACGCCACTCTGCCGCGCATCCTCGAGCTCTCGCCGCGCGCGTCTTCCCACGTCCGCATTCGACGCGTAGTGAATGTTTTGCAGCATCCCTAGCCAGGTGCGTGATACTGTATGGCCAATTCGCCTTATCTCACATTTTCCCTTGCACCATCCCTTTACCTAGATATCGTTCTCTCCTATGTGCCGTCTGGGATAACCTGTACCTCAGTCCGAGTTCTTGGTACGGATTCGTATTTTTCAATTCTTCAATCTTCCCAACTCCCCTCCCAACATCGGACGTTTGCCTCCGCATTTCGGGTGACTACCCGCGCATGTCCTGCGCAAAACCTACATAGTGGCTTGCTCGGGGAAGGTGCCGTCGAAGCAGGAGCGCCGCACCCGCCCTGCGCGCGCGACGGCATCCTCGACCTGGATGTGTACCACTCGGTTTGTCCCTGGAGCTGACTTTGATTCTGCGCGTAATCCTCAGCTGGATCTGGAGGACGCGTCGCTGCGGGTTGCCCTGGGCTGCGGTGGAGCGGGCTACCTGTGCTTGCGGTGATAAGAATGAACGGGTACGCGCATGGCTCAATTCTAAACTTATTTGGTCTCCGAGTCTAGGCGAATATCTTGCAGGGAATAAGACCTTGTGGCCCATGGTATGCGTCCGCTCTTATCTGACGAGGGGGCTCGCCCAACTCGCGCGAAGCAACCCGGTTCGATTCCGGGCGGGCGTCGTGGAGCGCCGTTCTTCTGCGGTGATTTTTTTACTCTCGAACCTCTCTGTCGCGATTTAACCACGGTAATAATTTTACGACTTCTTCAGTGGCTGCAGACCATTTTGGTTTTACTGGCAGGGCCGTGCGGCGCTTCTGTACTGCGCGCGCGGGAGTTTATTTTCCTTCTGCCTTGATGCTCACCATCTTAATCAGACCCTGTCGCATCCGCCCAGCGTTAACGATATTCTTCTGGGTTTACGCAGGAAAACGCAGTTTGAACCCGGGCGGGGTTTGCAGCCGGTGCGCTGATTTTTTGTTTTGAGTCTTCGTCCCCAGCTGAGTTTCAACGATGTGTAGGCAAGGTTAACGCCCTCGCCCTGGGCGGAAGGTCACTCCCGAGTGCACATGGGAGTACGCATGGACTCAACGTGGCACACGAAATTATTCCTGGCTTCAAAATTCAGGGAGGCCTCGGGAGACGGACAATTGATGTGCGGGTTCTTTCTACGCTTTCTCTGTTAATGTTTCATTCCTGTTAGCGTCTCGTGACCCCCTGCGAAGACCTCGGCGCAGGCGCGCCAGATCTGCACGAGGCTAACGGACCAAACTTTGGCGCGTTCAGCCAACGCCACCGAGGTGCGTGTATCGTCCGTCCAATACCTACGACCAACCGCTCACACAATACGCGCCCAGCTTATTGGCCTCGAGTCCGTGGTTAGCACAGGACCTGGTGCGAGGTGGTTCGCAGTTGCAACCCATGTCGTGGTACAGCAATGTCACGTTCGACTCGGGCTGGGTTCAATATTGACGCGGGCCGGTGGATATTTTTTGGCGGCTTGCATCATGAGGTCTGCTCATCGAGAGGTTTCAAACCCATTTTTTCTGTATTCGCTCGCTGAATCTTAGGGTTTCAACCCACTTCTGAATCCGAATCCATACCAACCCGATTCCTTAACCAGCCGCAATTCCTCGTCGAGGCCAACACCCGCTCACAAATGGCAATCAACGTTACTGACTGCAAGAGATAGTCTGCAGAGGACCGAGTGTGGAATGGGTTGCATGTAGTCATAAAAATGTATAAAGAGTAGAATGCAACGATACCCGTTCGACTCGTTCCACAAATCTCGAACACACTTTTTTTTTTTTCGGTTCCGGATTCCTCATTTATCACAGTCGAAGTTTGCCAAATCACTCTTGACACACAACATCTAGATCTTCAAACCCTCACAACCACAGCATACGGGTCACGCTCATCAAGGAGATACTAGACGGTACCCCGCATCAAGCCTTCCGTTTCTGAATGATTGGAGGGAGCCATGGTCAGTATCCGGAAAACCAGAACAACGCCGAGATGCCCGACTTAAACGTGTGAATCAGTCCATTACAGAGTAAATTCAGTCAGGTGGAACTTGTATGACTTCACAAAAGAAAGCTAGGGCGCCACGCAGTATCAGTGCCCCTCCCGAGAGTTTCAGGTGAACAGTTTAGGGTCAATAATTTCAAGAGCTTCCATGTCGTTCCAGTCAAAGAAACTTCTGCTTTGGTTAAACGGAGTTCAGGTTAAAAATCGACTTTGAAAACAACAGAAAAGAATAAGCAGCACCTTCGCGCCACACCTCTTCGGAGGGAATCGAACCCACATCTTCCCGCGTCAAGTATTTTGGACAGTGAGGTAAGCGGGACGATCACCGCTGATCCTCGAAGGGTTATTCGTACACTGCTTGGGGGCCGTTTCTCGAAGACCTTTCAGTTGCGCGCCGAGTCTCAGGTTTGCATCCCCTTTCCGCGGGTGAGCTATTCTGTTTTAAAAAGTAAGCTCGGGCACGCCGTGAAAGTCAAGGCCAACAGAAACTCGATTTCGTACCGTGACTACTTCTCCTTTCGTTCAACTAAGTACAAGTCAAAAATTGCGTTCGAAAAAAACAAAAAGAGGGATAACACAGACCGCACCTCTTCGGAGGGACTTGAACCCCACCTTCCCGCATACAAACCCAATACGGGTAAGGGGGGCGAGCGCCAATGATCTTCGAAGACTTGGTTTCATCTGGCTTGGGGCGCCGTTGATGAAGAGTTGGAATTTCCGCGCGTCGAGTTTCGGATCTACATCCCCTTCCCGGTGAACCAATCTGATTAAAACACCAGAAGAAAGAATGTTCTCCGTCAAAGTCAAGCAGAGCGAAAACTCGATTTCGTACCGGTTACTTCTCCCCTGGTTCAACTGAGTCTAAGTCAAGATTCAAATTTGAAAACAGTCCCAAAAATCTGTCCGTCACGTACCACCACGCCTTCGGAGGGCTCGAACCCTCGCCTTCCCACCGAGGATACTGGCATTGCGCACAGGTAAACGGGACGATCAACGGTCATCTTCGAAGACCTGTTCTTATCTGACCCGAGCCTGTGAGTGAGCAACGAATAATAAATGTGGACAATATACATTCACCCTGAGTGATGCCCGCAATATCGCTTCAGAGCAAGGGTGCCCCGGAGGATAGAGGATGAGAATAATTGGGGATAGCGTGGAGGACCAATCACGGCCTGGAGATGGCCGTGGTGTCGCTGTGCACACCGAATGCACCGTTCGCAGGGAAGGGGGCGGACATGGGACGGGTACGCACGAGGTCGCGCGTACACCTCGCGATCGGGCCACCGGAGCCGCAGGCTATCTTCCGACGGAGCGCGAATGACGGTGAGTGGCGACGGGGAGATCTGGGATCACAGTGTAAATGAAGGTCAAAAAGGGACGCAAGGAATCCGTACCTGCGGTCGGATCACGTTGGGTTGGATTGACAGACGAACACGCCTACGCGCGAAATGAGGCAGCAGCGCGAGGCAGGATCTCCAAGGAGATCGTTCGCCGAGGCCTACAGCGCAGTTGCGTCGGAATGATGGCGTGGTATCGGTAAGAGTGAATCTTGGCTACACGGCGGAGGTGGTGGGCGACGGGGGAGGCACTGGTCGAAAAGAGCCATAGCAGTTGGGTGTCAGGACTCAGGTGCCTCTAGGATTGCAAAGAGTCATATCGTCGACAGAGACGCCGAATCGAGAGAAGCAGCCATTATCCGAAACGGGCACGGCAGGCAGGTCGTTGCGCGAGGAGTGAGCGCAAGAGTGCACCGAGTTCGAGCGGAAAGGGGTGAGACAGGATTCTGGAGAAGGTTACAACTTGCGAGGTACGAGCACAGATGTTGTAGTGTTTGTCTACGAGAGACTAGGAGAAGGTCAGCGCGGGGCTAAACCGTAAGAGCAAAAACACGCACTCTCGCCATTAATACAACTTCCATTTCACCAGATTCCTCACGCAGCGCGCGTAAAGTGCTGCGAATGCTGCAAATATTGCCCAGACGCGATGGTCCGAATCGCAAACGGCGCGCGTGTGCGACGCGGGGCAGGGCGATTCGGTCGGTACGCAGCGGTGTCGTCTGACGACGTAGCAGGCAAGCAGCGCTGGATAAAACGTAGCAGGCAAGCAGCGCTGGATAAAACGGTATGAGTTAGTACGCACAAGGAGACGAAAGAATCGGTGTTGCGCACCGTGGACGCAGAGATCGCGATCGCGGTCCGTACAAGGATCAATATGTGCGAGATATGCGACCGATGGACTGAGAATACGCGCCGTGCGTAGGTAGACGAGCATGCGGCGAACGCGTCGATTGGCGTGTTGCAGACCATGCCCGACTGCCACAGCAGCACGCGCAGGGCGCAGGGGGAGCGGGACTTGGGGCGACGTTATTGAAGTCCTCGTGGCGGCATTCGATATCTTCGACTGTGGGAGAAGGATGGAATGTGCGGGGAAAACGGAACGCAGCGAAGAGATAAACGCACCGTAGATTTTACGACATTCCACAGAAGTCCACCTCTTCCAGCTACGCAGAACCAGGAGCGAAGAACGGAGAGGGTTGTGTGTCAACGTTGCGCGGGACTGAGTGCGGCTGAGACGCTGTCCTAGCACCCAATTGGCACGGCGAGAAGGCGGCAGAATGACGGAGAAGGGGCGTAGAGAGGACGGTGCGGCAAACCAGTCAAATCGAAGGTTTGCGAGCAGGGTATTGAGGCGGAGACTACCGGGTAGACGCAAGGCGGAGGCTGCAGGCGGACACGAGAGTAAAGAAGACTGCGGAAGGCTGCGAAGTGACGTAGTCGGCGTGGTGAGGGAGGTGGGTCGCACGGCGCTGAAGATAAGGGAAGGTCATGTGGCGGTGTTTGATCGCCGATCCCTCGGATCGTTCCGCATCTCACCAACCACCATGAGCCAGCATAGCCGTCCATCGTCCCATCGTCGGATGGCCTTTTCTTGCGTGAACCTAACCCTTCTACTGTGGAAACCTCTCTTGTTGTCTCTTCCTGATGGATCGGAACTCCTTCAATTCGTGCTGAACGTCCCTCTGGATCAACAAACAACTCTGGATGCGTTTTGGGGGCTTTCGAGCCTTCTTCATCTGGAACTACGACGCGGCTGGCTAACACAGTAGCAAAATCCTGCTTCAAGCCGCGGAAATTGTCTGCTGAAAAAACCGTGCGGGCACGAAAGTCTTTCTTGCGTCCCGTCCTGGATTTTCGTATTACTTGGCTCCTCAGCCCCCTTGCGTCGCACTTCCTTAATTCCTCGTACTGAGTGGTTCTTCAACTAGAAGCTCGTACGGCACCCGCTCGTCCCTGACGACTGCATCCAATGCGATTTCTGACGGCTACGCCGGACGATAACGCCAAAATCGCTCGAAATGGTAGTGTTCGAATCCTTTCTATTTCGAACCACAAAGGCTTATGATGCCTCTGAGGAAATGATTCTTGCGTGCGCTGCCTAGGTTATCTAATTTTTTCATCTCAACAGGATGGGGCGTATGTCTTCCCTCTGCACAATTTGGCGAAATCTTCCCGCCAATTTTCTCCCGTCTTTCCACCGAGTCGAGTCCAACGAGTTCTCGATTCATTACCCTCGATTAAACGACTCAAATCACCGGCATCCAGGCCCCACTAGTCTGCGAACGATCTAAATCTTTGGGCCCAACGTAACCGCACAAAAAAAAATCGACCACAGGGCAGGTCCTGCATGCACCCGACCCGAGTCGAACGGGAAGTCCCCGCACAACGTCGAACAACTGCATAAACGAGAGGCGGGTGCACACCGTGTGCAACAGGTGCGGTACCCACCTTATTTCTTGCTCGTACATCCTTGATCCTAATCCGCTTGCTGGAATCGTTTTTGTGTAGGCTTTGGCGCGAAATTCTGCATGTTCCTTGAAAAGGACGCCTTGCATTCCCCACTCAACTCTCAGAGCTAACACGCGATTGCCCCCGGCCTCCGATATAAAAATCGGAAGGATGAATGTAGACCCCATACCCCCAGCCTGAGTCGAACGGGAAGTCTGCCGACATGCTGCGCTCGCGGTTCACGGATCGCAGATGCACCCGTGTGCTCTGGGTGCGGTACTTCTCTTTTGTTAAGTTCTTTTTGCTCGTTGACTTGCAAACTGTAGTTCATTTTGATTTATTTACTACTCTATAGCTCGCTGGTGCTGCGCTCGGCTGAGTTGGCCGAACGTCCAGTAGACTTACCCCGATCCTCGGACGAGTTTATCCCAAACCCAGAACCTACGACGCCGACGATTCGGCGGGAAGTTCCTGCAAACTGCGCGCTAAGTCAGTTACTTCTCGTTCGTCGAGTCCAGTCCTTCAACTCTTTCAACCCGATCCTGCGTCGTGATCCAGGGTTTGTGAGTGACCAATCGATGCAGATGTCACCTGCGCAACCACAACGAAAAAAACAAACAAAATCCGCTCGCAGCTATTCACCTGGCCCGAATCGAACGGAAGTCGACTTCCCCGCGCACTGCGCAGACGAGAGGCGGGGTGCACGCCGTGTGCAACAAGTGCGATACCCTAGTTATTTCTGGCTCGTACTTACTTGATCTCGTTGCTTCCGTTTAGGCCTGAACCTTACCGCGAAATTCTGGATACTGTCTCAAGCAGCGGTTCATAATTCAAGTTCCGTGTTTATAGCCAACCATGGAGTGGGCATTTTAGTAGCAGATCGTGAGTCCCGTCTAGAGCCAGACTTGCGCCCACAACAACGGCACAACGATGTACCGCCAATGAACATTGAGTATAGTGCGGTGGCCGGCCGTGGCTGTCGTCAGTCCTTTTCCGACGCACGGAGTCTCACCAAAAGTCGCCGCCAGTGCTTAAGGAAGGGCTTCCGCGGAGCCTAGCAGAAAATAGCCCGCATTTAAAATTAGGAACGACCTGCCTTAACGGCACATTCAATACAAGTGGGGAGAAGTCTGCGAATATTCTCGGATCGTGAGGGATCGGACGCCGGATCCAGATCCCGAACTCCGAAAGGGTTCTTAGAGAAGTGGCGGGGCGCATTCGCATGGCAGCAGAAGCTGGAATGACCGTGGCGCGCGCGGCCTCTTGGATGAGCCTCGGGCAGGGTATTCGGAAGGAGAGGCTGATCAATACGGGGACTCCATGGAGACGTGGAATTAGAACTCATATTCGGCCAGCGAGCTGGGTTTCTGTCAACAATTGACCAATGCTATAGCTGTACTTACAGAGGGAAGCGGCGTATGCAATAGCTCCCATGGAGTCGAGAACAGAAATTATCCGGTGGATGATAGCGCTTACAGTTTTCCAACCTAGTAATGAACAGTGAGCGATAAGGGCGTAGTGTCAAAATACCAGATATTTCAAGCGGCATAAGTCAAGC